CATACAAAATCCCAATTTAAACTTCTCAAACAAGCAATTTGATCCGTTTAAGACTCAATTACGTGTTTTCTAAAAATCCATTTGTACTTTGGTTCTTGCAGGAAGTGGAAGTAAATCTTGTCATTACAGATTATTGTATGCCAGGAATGACAGGCTATTTCTTGGTTTATTCCTGCTCACCATTCATTTGCCAAACATAGATTGATTTCCTTTCCTGGAAAATATGCCCATACCAATTTTCCTAATCCAGGCTGTAGTTTTGTGGGATTGATGTGAATGGACACATGGGTCATTTTCTTGCAGATGAATGAGAATCTTTGCGAAATCTTTGATTTGTGTAATCAAATATATAAAAAGAAAATTTTAGCCCATAAACGAATGTCGATTGAAAGATGACTTTGCGAAATCTTTGATTTTGTAATCAAATATATCGAAAGAACATTTTAGTCCAACCTATCATTTTCATCCAAAGTCATCTTTCAATTGACATTCCTTCAGGGATTGGCTGGATAGTACCGAAAATTATAAAAGAAAGTATTAAAAAAGAAACAACCACAACAACATATTTAGAAGACGTTGCCAAAAAGTCCATTTTAAGGAGCTTTTAATTACTCATGAACACACTCTTAGCTCGATTTATAGTACTAACTAAATAATCGAAAAAACATTAAAATTTTGTCTTTGTAGTTTTGTCCTGCATTTAAATTTCATAATAAACATATGGGCTTTCTTATTTTTGGCAGGAATCTTCATCTTTGAGAAATATACCAGCTGTTATTATGTCCTCTGAACATGTTTCTTCAAGGATCAATGGTAAGAAATTTTTTACATTTTACTCAAGCCCGTGTACTATTATGTATTGAGCTGTCTCATCTAAGTAGGATGGTAACGGGAGGGCCCCGTCAGGTAATTTCCCATCTTGTACCTGTCCCGGTCGTTACCCATTTAAGGCAAGATGGGGCCCTTGTCCCATTTACTACCAGTTTAATTATTTTTTTTTAGTTTTGATAAGTTATCTTATTGTCCACATGCATTAAAATGAGATAATAATCTATTTATTAATTTTTGTACTTTTTTATTTATTTTTAAAAGTTAAATTATTTAAATATATTTGATAAACCAAGGGTTTTATTGTTTGTCTCATTTCTTAGATAATCTTAATTGCCATTTTTTATTAGAACTAATGAAATTTCGTAGAATTTTTCATTTAAAGTATTGAATTCTTCAAAAACAAATAATTATAATAAATGGGGCAGGACGGGGCCTTTGTTACCCGTACCCACTCCTTACCCTCCCGGGGCGAAGTCTCCCATCCCCAACCCAAATACTCGATTAAGCGGGTGATCCCCGCCCAGCCAACTCAAGACAGATCCCCGCGAGAATCAGATTTGACAGATTCTTTTGCTATCCCTACATCTAAGATTTTTTCCCCTTTATTAAAAGTCTGACACACCCATAATTTTCATAAATGAATAGTTGCTCTGATATTATATTGAACTTCAGCATGACTTGGCGGGATAATATGTGTTGATCGAATGTATGGGACAGATGCTTAGAGGAAGGAGCAGAAGAATTTTTGCTAAAGCCAGTGAAGAGGTTAGATGTAATCAAGCTTAAGAAGCACATTATTACAAGAAAATGCAATGAAAAGCCTGAGAAACAGGATGAAAAGAAAGAAGAGTCAACAGAAGCATCTGAAAATAATCAATTACAAACACCATGGAAATCCATGGATGAAGAGAGAACAAGGCCCTAACACACTGTGCTGTCCAATTAATCATTGGAAATTTATTAATGTTTTTTTTTTCTTTTTTCGATTTAAAATGTTTCTTGACCTTTCTTAGCTCTTCTCGTTCATCTTTTTGCTGCTGCTTAAAGATTTTAAATATTAACGGACTTGTACAGAGAGGAAAGGAAGATAGGGTTGGCAACGGTTCGGTTATGGGTCGGTTCGGCCAAAACCATAACCGCACCACCAAATTTTTTACCATACCATAACCGCACCATAACCACGTAAATCGGTTCGGTTCGGTTTTTATCTCGGTTCGGCACGGTTCGATTTTTATCTCGGTTCGGCACGGTTCGGTTCGGTTAATAACCATGAAAATAAATTATTTTTATAAGTTCATCCGTCAAATTGATATAAAACAATTTATGAAAAAAGTCAATGAAAACAAAAACACAATATTCCAAACGAAAATGCAAACATTATCAAACAATATTCCAAACGTAAATGCAAACATTATCCTAATTTTCAATTGTAAAATACAAATTTAACAAATAATATTATAAATATAATAATACTAAACTTTTCCTTTATTCTTAATTGTTGTGCATCGAAATTACTTGATGCATTCTTCTCTACAAGTCTTACTAGCATAGATCAGCATTCAAAGTTGATTCCTATTCATCCTTGACAATATTGGCACGTCTAAAAAAACATCGAACTCTATTTTTACATGATCAGCAGTAATAGAATGACTAACAAATGTAACAAATTTTTGGAGGCAACGACAATTTGGACCGTAGAGGAAATGGAGTCGTGCGTGAGTTTGTGGTTGTGGAGAGTAGGGTTTGCATTTATATATTGTCATACTAATGCTATTATGGGCTAATGGTAAGTAGACTGGCCAAATGAGTCAGGTAGATGTAATGAGGAGGGGAGGAATTTTGTTTTGATTTGGATAGAAAAGTAGTGTAAAACCCATTATCAATTTAATTTTTTTTTAGCGGGTAATCGGTTCGGTTTCGGTTCGACGACGTAAATACCATACCCGCACCATTACGAACCGGTTCATTAAAATCAAAACCATATCCGCCCCATTGCACCATCGGTTCGGTTTTTTTTGCACCATTCGGTTCGGTTAACCGCGGTTTTCGGTTTTGACGGTTCAAATTGCCATCTCTAAAGGAAGAGGAGAGCCGTTCATCACATTATGATGAAGAATCAATCTACATGTATAAGGGAAAATTTTATAAAACTGTAACAAATTTCACACAACAGTGGAGTGGGTGATTTATTTTATGAAATAAAATATTTACATGGGGCCCACCCCAATGGGAGTGCCCTATAAAACTTCTTTGAATTTATTCCCTATGTACATGGAATAATACTATGATGAAATGAATCAAAATATTTCCTTAATATCTGTCTACCTTTGGAAATCGAGTTCACTAATTGAGGCCTATATTTTAATTTTCTAGTAATTTTAAATTGTTTAGATCCCAATAAATAGAAGTCAATTGCTTGACATGACATTTCTTTAATTCACTTCAAACAATTAATATTTCTTCTTAACTCTTTTTTTTCCTTCAATCTTCATTTTCAATATGAATATATTATTTCCAAAACAGATATTAATAATCATTTATCTAGAATTTTCTATATAAAATGCATGCACACAAAATAGAAATAAAATAAATTCTTCGCTCATTCATTCTTCCTTTATCTTAAATATAAACTAGAGGATCCAAAATTAAGAATGCAACTCGAAGGGAAGGAACTAGGCTAGACTACTTATCTTCTAAAGTAGCATAACATTGGAAAATATATTATAATCACTGTCAAGAATAAACATGTTGTGTCGAGGGATTGAAATCCTCTACTATTTACCACACTTCTTAGGACCCAAATCCAGTTAAATCCACAATAAAGCTAGCACCGATACCCGTTGCTTTCATGGGATCACTGCTTCTTTTCGATGTAGAATTGTTGGGTCTCGCCAATGTCAACAATGAGAAAAAAAAACAACCAAATGGAAACAGCATTATGTAGCCCCTATTTAGTGAGGATTAAAATCAACTTTTTAACAAATTTTAATAAAAGTTGATAAAATGTGTAGTTAAAGTATTGTGAATCCTATAAAATATGTAGTTAAAATTAAATGTTGATTTTGACTTGGATTAAACTTTAGATTTATGTAGCGTGTCGACAAGATCCAATAGTTTTTTATGTTGTGAGAAAAACTGAATTCACGGAACTTGAAGATTGTTTTAATCAGTTTGGAGAGATTTTACTAGAAAACTAACAATACTACAACAAAAATGTGATTTTACGACAAGAAATTTTGTTATATAAGAAAAGATGTTGCAATAAGTGACTTAGGACAACACTTTTTTAAGTTCGTCGCAAAGATTGATAGGAAAAAATAAGTATAAAAAAATATAAGGGAACATTAAAAATTGTCGTGAAATGTTAGGAGGCGCGACAAATAGTAAAGATCATCACCAAAAGCATGAGGGAAGCAAGGTATCAAAAAAAATTTCAGAGGAAACTTATGGTCACAAACTTTTATTTCTTGTAATAAAGTGTTTGTGATATAATATGGTCTACTTTTTGCGACAAAGAATATTTATTGCTAAAAATTCTATAAAGTATGAGAAAAATCGCTACAAGAAAAACTTTTTATTGCATCAGATAAAAAACAGTGGCGTATATATTTCACAACTTTCACTCATATATTGTATGCCCTAATATTGTCGTAGTGTATAAGGGTACACAACGTGCTATATGAGGATTTTTTTTAGAATTTTTTTTTATATCTTTTTATAAATTTAGTGGATGAAAATGATATTTTCTTACAATTTTGTTATGCATACATTCGGATTGACACTTCACACACATGGAGGTAGGGCTCGAGCCACTCCACACACATGAAGGCAGGGCTTGAGCCTAATAAAATAATCACGGCTCCACTTCCATGTGCGTGGAGTGTCGTCCAAGTGACACCCCGGATGTACACAGCATTATTCATTTTCTTATAGTTCAAATAGTAGTTTGAAAATTTAATTTTGACCTAAGAATTGACTAATCCGATGTGGAAAGGGCAGTCCGCGGCATACACAACACCAAGTTGTATGTTATTCTTCACAGTAGAAAATCATGGTCAGGCACCATCAAATTTTTAAATGGATAACGCCACTGATTTTTTTTTATTTGAAATACGTCGGCGTTATGTTGTACTTTGACTTCGTAGTAGTAAATTTGTTCCTGGATTTATTAAAAATATTATTATACCTGGAAACGTAAGCCGCAATAACTAAAGCCACTCTTTACTTTCTCTATCCGAAAAATGTTCTCACTCTAAATTCTCTCAAATCTTGCGAACCGAATAAGTTTCTTGAAAGAACCCAGAAAGTTTCAGGTACGATACCCTTTTGAATTCAATAAAGTTCAATACTTTATTTTATGTTTGTGCATTAAATTTTTTGCAAGTTACATGCATATATGTTGGGGTTTGGTGTGTATGTGATGTGATCTTTAGGTTTCAGAGTGTTCCTTTTTCTTTTTTTCTTTTTTTTTTCCCATCTGAATAAGGATTTTTTGGTTTGTTTTGATGGTGATCATGGCTAAAGGTTGACGGGTTATTGTGATCTTATTTGAGGATTTAGTTTTCTTGTAGCCTCGTTTGCGTTTTATTGAACAATTTCTTCTGTTAGAGGAGTTAACAATTGTTATCTTGAAGGGTTTGTTTGCCTGCTAGATGATAAAACAAATAAACGAGAGTAAAAAATATGTATTTTCTTTTTTCAAGAAAAGTTTGTAGTAAGCTTTAATTTGACAAAGCTTCGTTAAATATCTATTCTCATGGTTTCCCCAACATTCAAAGGTTAGACAGGGTGATAACGAATAGAAACGTAGTTCGGGGAAAAAAGTTTGAATAAGAACCTAGGTTTGTAACAGTGTGAACAAATGTCAAGAATGTAGGTGTAGATTTGTGCCAAACGTTGCATTTTGAAAGAAAGATGATTGGTAGACAAGGCTGGCGTTGTTTGTAGGGTTCGATAGAGGGGTTAATTGGTAAATGTGGGAGTCCCAGTGGGACTGTTGTAATCGGGTATTTTGGCCATGACTGGTGGTTGTCATGGAAAATGAGGGGAAAAATTTTTGAAAATAATGTTTTCACTTTGTTGAATTGAATGTAGACTTACGAGAAATGAACTAAAACAACATCAACATCGAAATATCCAAATATAAATGTCGTGGTTGCCTTTTATTCCAATAAAGGAAGTAAGTAGTTTTGGTAACAAAAGATATTATTTATAATAATTTTCCTCAAAATATTAACATAAATGGAAATGCAACTCACAAGAGCCACTTCCCTATATGCACCGTTTTGGTTCTCTAAATTCACCCTTGCAACTAGAGAAGCACTTTGAAAACCTTATGATATTTGCGGCATAACAAGGGGCTTAGAAAGAGGTTTTAGTGAATTCTCCACTTTCTTACACTTAGTTTACGAATTCTACTTACTAGGGACCTAAATACTAAGCCCATATTTGATCCTCATTCTTTTGAAAAAATGCATTCTTAAATAGTGTTTTGACATCATTTCAATTACACATTCTTCAATAAAATAATATTACACGCAAATCCAAAATTTTTCCTTATTTTTTAACCACACATTTTCCATCAATACACTATTCAAAGATGCATTCTTATGAAGGGGGGGGGGGGCTCAAACAAGGGCTAAGTTTCTATTTGGCCTCCATTAAAATTTTAATACATTTTTCTCTTTCCTCTTTTTAACCACGCGTTCTTCAATAAAATAATATTACACGTAAACCCAAAACTTTTCCTTCTTTTTTAACCACACATTCTTCAAAAAATTACTATTTCAAAATACATTTTCCCTACAAATACATTATAATAGAGGTCAAACAGGGGCTAAACTGTTACCTAGATCAGTTTTCAATCATTTTTATCTTGAAGCTTCCATATCTGCATATGAATGAGTAGATTACAAGCATATGCATTTGTGTGTGTATATCTGTATACCAATTATGATCAAACAAGTGTTGAATTTTGTCTTCTGATAACCTTGCTAGATGGCTGAATGCTGAATCTGATAACTGGAGTGATTTGGTGAAAGATTTTATGGTTCTTTATGTGCTTTATAGAAGTTCTTAGTGGATTAAGAGTTTTAAAATGTTGATCATGTAACCTACACACGTGTACTTGTTATTTGATTTTGAAAATGTGTGCATATATTGAAGGGTCAATATAAATTCCGTGATCTTGAACTCTTTTTACATTTTAAATTTGTGATTCATTGCATTTAATGCCGTGTGATAGTAATTTGTGATGTTTATGCTGACGTGTGTCCCTGACGACTACATATTTTGTCAACTAGATTGCCTTCTTCAGTCAAACCAACAAAACATGAACAGAGTGGCCCAATTGTATCAAATGCTAAAATGAAGTGACCCTGTTGTGACAAAATTAAGTAGAGTGACCCAATTGAAATTTTGCTTAAAGTTCATTGGGCCACATGTTTTTTATTCTGCACAATTTATATCACCAACGTTTTTTATAACTTTTTCTGTATTTGTTAATGTGTTAACCATTTTACCTTCTGTTGATTCATTAATTGGAGAAGATTCCCCTTGAACTACTATTTTTTTCCATACACTTTGTTGTACTCTTTCTTTTCGTTTGAGTTTTTTATATATTAATTTACCTAACTACCCGAATTGATGCAGTCATTTCAGGTTTTATACATATTGGATTGATTAGAAAAATGAGCAAAAGCATAGTTCTACATTCGGTGTCATGAAAAATTAGCCACCTTTAATTAATCTCATCTTGTTGGTGAACTTGCAAAATGTCTAACAGGGAAGGTAAGAGAGTTTCAGTTGAAGATATACAGCTGGTAAGTTTCCCAACTTCATTTACACATTTTTCTTATGAATGCCTTTCTTTCTTTCTTTTAGTAAATAGGACTCCGTTGCAATGCAATGAAGATTTCGTGGTCAGCATATGAGGATGTTTATATATCGGTGCTTTGAGAAGCACCTTCTCTTTAATTAGCCATTTTTGTGCACATATGTTTTGAAGTTTGTCTTGACAAAAGAGAGCCAATGGATGGCCGCATGAATTGGTTCATTCATTGATAATACAGTCGCTAAGAAAGTAGAAGGAAGCTCTCTAAATGAATATGATCATAATGTCTCTTTCAGAATATGATATATTATTTAGAAGTTTTCAATTTGTGCTTATAGGTTTTTGGAAAAATGACATGCAAAAGTTTAAATGCCTATTATTTTGGGACTAAAGACGATTTTTTCTTGTTAGGTTTAGGTCATCGCATTTCTGGCAAGCTTGATTTAAAAGTTTTTTTTGGAAGCAATAGTAGCTCCCCCTCCCCCTCTTTTTTGAGTATATTTATTTCTAAATATATGCTGTCATGGTGCTGACCTTGTGCTCTTCAATAATATCAGGTTCAAAATCTTATAGAAAGGTGTCTCCAGCTTTACATGAGCCAGAAGGAAGTCGTGAATACTCTCTTACTCCAGGCAAAAATTGAGCCTGGTTTCACTGAACTTGGTAATGTCAATTCTTGGATAGAATTTTCTTCTTCCGTGTGTTCTTATTAGTTAGTGAATTTTACTCTCACAACATCAGACATAAGATGAATAACTTGAAGCTACAATGTGAATAACTGTATAATCATCATGTCCTTATGCATATTAGAACCTGCATTTCTTTTTGTAAAGAATATGTATTTCTGAAATTGTGAGGCTTCAAATTTTGCTACAGTTGAAGATTTGATATAGGCAATGGATTTATCTTGACCTAACTAAGTTTGATGGTTGATGCTAGTGTGTGATAGTGAGTTTTATATGTTTCACAACATGGTGTCCTTGGTTACAGGAGCCCCCATAGTATACTAATTCTTCTCAATCTATTATGAAAAAATTAAGAGGTCTTGTGTTTTCATCTTTGTTTTCATTGGAAGGGTTTAGTAGGCAGGTGCATACTGTGTGAGTTTGGGTAGTTACTTGAAACAAGATCATACTCAGTGCTCGCTTGTAGTGATTTCAAGTGTTTATAAATTGTGGGTTCCTCATAATGTGTGGATCAAGTAGGTAGTAGATAGTGGATCCTACAAAATATGTAGATAAAAAATATGTTTGACTAGCTTAAAAAAATATAAGCTTTTGCTAAACATGCACTCAATGTCATGAACATGAAATCCTTGATTATTTTCTACTTTCGAAGTTATTTGGGTTCTTCAACCAAGTTGTTAAAGTTCTTCTGTTATATCAACAGAAGTTCTGGGCATATGTCTGTTTTTTATTATGACCTGCTACTGAACGATAACGAATTCAAAGCATGCTATTTTCTGGTCCGTCCATAATGGAAGTCATGAGGAAACATTTGATGAGTTGCTGCCACTTAGCTTTTCTTTAATAAATAGTAGAGGAGAAATTTGTGCTAATCAATTTCTATGTTGTAGCAGCAATCAGCATATTTTGTCATTCCCACCCTCGATATTTGTTAATATAAATCTGGTCTGTCTTCCAGTGTGGCAAAAACTTGAACAAGAAAATCCCGAATTTTTTAAGGCATATCATCTCAGGTTGATTGCGAAGGACCAGATATTGCGATTTAATCAATTACTTGATAGGCAGATTGAGTTGATGCATCAATTATATCCAAATGTAGTTGCTCCCATTCCTTTGTCCAATGGATCTCAGATTCATCCAAGTAAGCAAGCTATTCAATATTTGGTATTCTTTATATGAAGGTTATACCTTACTCTGTAAAGCATAAGTTATACAGATAAGCGAGGTGTTTCTCTGTTAGTATTTAAATTCCTACATAGATGAAGCACTGCTTGATAATATGCATATTTATGTTAGAATTTTTGACATGCTCATCTGAAAGAAGTTTTCTATTCGATGGGAAGAGATCTTTTCTTTCCATTCCTTGTGCTTTGCTGGTTGCTTTGCTATGGATAGGCTCAAAGGGTTAAAGAATTTACCTCTCCTCTTCATCAGGGGCTGTCAATGGATTGACAACCTAAGGTTCACTAATGAACACTTAGTGCATTAAATTTGTCAATAATAGTACTGCTATGTTCTGATTAATCCTATATCTAAGTGAGCTTTATATGACTATGATAACAGAATTTAGATGTTGCTCCCTCAATTTGATGACTTAAGCATTGGGGGAGATTGTGATTCAAGAGTGCACAGTGAAGCTTTACATTACTTGCATGCTTCTTTTATCCCTTGGATAGTATTTTGGATTTATGAAGGCAAGCTCAATGTGGCAGTTCATTTAACATTTTAAAGGAGAAGAATATACACACGCTTTGCATTTCGTCTTAGTGTCTACCAAATATCGCTTAGACTGTTGATCGTAGTTTATGTCCTGATTGGAACTGGACTTAAACGTCTTTGGATCCTGATTTGGGCCATTCACTCAACTTTCATATCAGGAACACATTCAAATAATGGCCCTTGATTTCAACTGTTTGAGCTTGTGATTGCCTTGGCACAAAATAAGGAACGATCTCTCCAATGCATAAATGGCTGGGAGATGAGTTGGCATATATAGATTTTGAAAATGGGATAGAAGTTGTTATTGTTAGAACAGTTTTTTTGTGCCAGAACAAGTTTAAACAACTGAAACCTGGCACTGCCTCTTAACTTTTTTTCCCCCCCTTAAACCTCTTTCCTGTGTATACTTCCATATCTGATATTTGTGTAGTATTAGATACTAGGTTGCCGGAGCTCTATTATGTGGAAACACTTTTAAGTTCCATAAAAGTTTTTTCATAATCTAAATTGTTTAGTTTGCCATGTCAAATTTTTTATAGGTTATCATGATGGTGATGAACTGTCGAATAGCTTTTGCCTTGTAAGTTCAGCTGGTTCTGAACTTCTCTATTGATGCTGAGTGGTCCATTATGATAATCACTCTGGCCTGTTATGATCCTTATCTTTATTGCTCCATTTGCTGTCAAACTTAGAACTAGATTCAAGATCAGGAAGAGAAATTTGGGTGTCGGGACAAAGACAGAACCAAGGATGTTATTCTGGAGATGTGATACATGATTGTTATCAATCTCCTTGTCTTATCTGAAAATTCTTGCTCCGATAAAGTTCAAACCAATCAATTTAAGTGCTTATCAAGCCCTGGAAATTTTGTTCAACAATTTAAGAGTTAGAGCCCCAATGCTACACTGACACGTAGTGTCAAAATGGAGTGAAAATTGGCACCTAATTTTAATCATTCTTTTTATAATTGGTGAAAACGTTGTGCAAGTTGGTGAAAATTGGAACTTAATTTGAATTTCTTTTGGTTATTTTTAATACTATATAAACCCTCTCTACTTCCCATTTGTTTTTTACAATCAGTTCTCATCTCCTTTCTCTAATTTCTCTTACTCTACTCTCGATTTATCAAAATTTCAATTCTCTAGCATTTTATATATTCAATTATTCAAATGCCATTTCATTTATTTAGTATTCTTTATATGCAATGGTTTAAATCTTTTCTCAATCACACGACACAATCTTTTTTTGTAGAAATATTGATTTATCTTGCTTTATATATGATGGATATAATAGTTTGTTTGATACTGAGGAGTTGAAAAACCAAAACTATCGTTTGTGAACTCCCTATGATTATGATCAACTTGCAAAATTGAACAATATACCAATTATTTCTGACCGTCAAATTTCTGTTGATTTGATGAATATTTCTTGGATCTGGAAATGCCACTTTCAACAAGGCCTTAAGGAGAACAAAAGGAAATTCTTGTTTGACAAACTTTTACACTAGAGAAAGCCAATTTCAATGGAAATGAACAACAGTGAGCAGTTTATAAATTTTGCTAGAAAAGGTTTTTCTTGAAAACTGGTGGTGGTATGATAACCTGCATAGGCATGTGTAGAAATGTGTGATTATATTTTTCTTGTTTTGACATGAAATATCCCTCCTGCACCTTTTCCAGCACCGTGGAACACCAACAAACTGGCAATTTACATTTATTTATTTATTCATCTGTCACCTTAGTTTCTAACTGCTGATTCCCCTGATCTTCCTTTTCCTTCTCCATTTTAAGATTTTATTTAGTTCTATCGAATGTATAGATGTTTTTGATATTCGCTGCCTAGTGTATTATCTGTTGATAATACACCATGATTTAGAAACGAATTTGAACCCTAAATCTTTATTGTCTTCTTTGCTCATTCTGTCTGCCTACTGATATCCGAAAGCATGTGTGCACGTGTTGCAGTGTAGGCACTAGCAGACCTTTCTTTTCATGCTCAACCCAGAGAGTTCCTTTCGAGTATATGTTCATATTACTTTTCTTCTTGGATACCTCTGCTAGTGTTTCAGCTTCACCATTTCTTCAGCAATTATATATATTACTTGTTTGGCTTAAAATGAAATTATTGTTATAATATTTTGGCAGTGCACTACAATTCAGCGTATCATACCCCAGAACTTAGCGTACACCAACAATGTAGTACCATAACTAATGCATACACCAATGGCGCTTCTTCACTTCAGCCTACCATACCTAATGAATACACCAACGGTGCTTCTTCATTTCAACCGACAATACCTAATGCTTACACTAATAGTGAATCGTCAATTCCACCATGCATGCCTCTTGCAGTCAATATGGCGGGTCATGTTGGAAGGACTGATATATCGGCAGACGTGCCATTGGCTCAGAGGTCAAATTCAGAAATTGTGCAAGGAATGAATGGAGGGACAATGATATCAGAAGCTAGCCATGCAAATCATCCTCGGTTCATGTTTGGTGCAAACAGAAATCTTCAACAACCAAATACCACAATAGGAGAAGGATCGGTTTCATCTTTCATTGATGTCGAGTCTAATTCACAGGCATTGAACGAGACTTTCCTGGATCAAGACATGAATTCACTTGGATTCTTGGGATCCCGAAACTTTAGTTTTTCAGACTTGACAGCTGACTTTTCTAATAATACTGGTTAATTCTCTCTCTCATACTTATGATATGCCTGTGCATTAAAGTTCAAACGCAACTGAAAAGTCTATTTTTTTAAGAAATTACTTTCTTTTTATGAGTAAGTATACTTCACCTTTATATAACTTAATTGATTTTGTATCTTCAGATATATTAAATTATTCTAAATCTCCCTTCCTTGGTATGAATTCGAACTTTCCAGATCCTCATATTAGGGGAGAACAAGGTAAGGTTCGTTGACATCTGCTATTGTTCTTGAATTTAAAGGATATTGCTAATATCTGTGTCCTACCTATGAGCAGACATTAAGAGGCTGAACACTGTATCAGAGGGGTTCAGTTATGAAGATTTTGGCAGTGATTGATTGAATAATTTTAATGGTACTGCTTTCTATCCATTATCCTGCTAAACTTTAGAATTGTTACTTCTTTTCTCTTAAAATGTGCGAGTGCAGCTGGTAACATGATCGATAATATATTGTCTGCACTGGTATATTTCATGGGGGGAATTTATACCTACTGTCCCAATCCAATTCGTGAATATGTACTTCCGTATTAATTTTTTTAAACGGATCCTCAGACAGTTTCCATCCATTAGTTCCATTAAAACGTCATGTGGCTTGTACACTATGTTATCTTTGGGAGTATATTGAGTAACATGGTAAGAAATATGTCAGTCTTCCCTAAATAAAAATGGAAAATTGGGAGGCAATGAAAACTAATGTTCTCTCTTACCCATGCCGTACTTCCAGTCCAACTGATAATATATTGTCTGCACTGGTATATTTCATGGGGGAAATTTATGCCCACTGTCCCAATCCAATTCGTAAATATGTACTTCCGTATCAATTTTTTTAAATGAATCCCCAGGCAGTTTCCATCCGTTAGGTCCATTAAAACATCACGTGGCTTGCACAATATGTAATATTTGGAAGTATATTGAGTAACATGGTAAGAAATGTGTCAGTTTTACCTAAACGAAAATGGAAAATTTTTAAGGCAAAGAAAACTAATGTTCTCCCTTAACCACGCCCATGCTTTGTCCCTGCCACTCCACCATCTGGTTCTCTTGCCGTCCTTCGCCTAAATGTAAAATATCAGTCTGTTTACTTGATTTTTCAAAAATTATCATAAGGAAACAAGATAAAACTCTGGGGATAGGGGGTTTTAGGGATGTCTGGCGAGGTCAAACTTTGGATAATGGTATAAAGCTGCTGGGAGCTTAAATGAAATTCAACCAATTCTGATTTGAAGCCCTCAATTGTGTCCCCCAAAAATACCAATTTGAAGTTCACAATATCACTGGCTACATGATGTAGCATTTTCTGGAGCCAGTTGTATTGTGACTTTAGGGTCTTTGAGTGTGATTTTAAAGGAGTCAAATTCGAAGCAGTCAATTTATTCGATTCCGGTTACCCTCTGGATGATAGGGAGGATCAAAGGCTGTAGGTGTGGGGTGGCATTGTCACCTTTCTGTGTGCTGTTGAAACTGGGCAAACGAGGGAGCTTTGAATCAAAACATGAGTAAAAATGCATGATAAGGAGACGAGGAACTGGATGGTTTGGGAGTGAAGGGAGAAGAAGATGAATTCTTTTTGTTTTTCTTTTATTTTTAATTAAAAAATGAGGTTATAATTACTGTTTTTACCAAATATCCCTTGTACCGTACAGATTATTTTCCAATTCATATAAGTCATCATTACGTTGTAATCAAAAGTTTCTGGGATCCTTTTCTTATCCATTATTCTCAAATATCTTATCCTTTTTACAGCAAAGTTGCTGTTGGATTTTGATTAACACCGCATTCCTTTGAATTCTTGTGCTGAGTTGGTCTTGCACCTATCTAACTTTATGTTGTTCTCGTGATCATTTTGTTGCAGGGAAATTACTTTCTAGGATTGAAGTTACTGTAAAAAGTTTTGTTGAATTAGTGTGGTTCATGATTTCATCTATTTGAAGGTATTGATATTTCCATTTTTGGTTGATAATTTATTGATGACAAATTACAGTAGTAGTTTTTGGACCAATAAGGGACTAGATACAATCGAAAGTTCGTTACTGAATCCATGCATGTCTTTTGATTTCTTTTACCCAATTAGGCTTTTCTTTGTTGAAGTATTGCAGTGATTTTGGAAATCCTGCTGATATTTACTGTTATTATCTGCAAGCATTTTTGGCTGAGCTTAGAAGCAAATATGTATGGATAAATTACATTTTTCTTACTTTGAAGTGATGAAGTTACTCATTTGAAAGTAAATCTTCTTTGTAAAATTAGTAACATGCTGATTCTGGATTACACATAACTTGTTTAAAACCTTACTTATTTCAGTACGGAAATTTGCAGCAGGGGTCCCACTTAAATTTTCCTCAATGGACCTTCAATTGACCAATTTAATTAAAGGCAAAATGGTTAATCCACATAATCCCACTTTAAACAATTAAAATAAGAAGAAAGAATAACTAAAAAAAATTAAAATTAAAATTAAAAGAAAAGACAAAAAAATATGAAAATGTTTCATCTTCCCCCACCATCACCCACCCACAGTGGCTCCTAACCCCGCCAACTGGTTTGGGGCCAGAAACCAGGGAGAAATCATCAATGGTTAGTCGAAAAACTGGGGGGGTTAGCAGGATATAGGGTGCAATTCAACCTGGTTCTGACTAAATGGGCCCTTTCGCGACTAAAATCCTTTGGTTTGAGTTTTGAAACCAGAGGGGATAAATCTCCCTACCCCAATGTGATTGTTGGTGATTTTTTGGGTCTCAAATGGAGGCTGTGGGGTTTGGAATTGTTTTAAATGAAAAAATATGGAGGGACTATTATGTCTTTATTAAAATTGATAAAACTAAGGTCAAATGCGTGAGTTTTAGTCTACTAACGATCTTTTGGACGGAAACATGCAGAGGTCTTTTTGGGCACATTCATCGAAAGGTTTAGGATTAGGTGCTAAGATTAGAAGGTATGGGACCTCTGCTGAAAATTCTCATTTACTTGTAATTTACAACCTTTAAAGCTTCGGCAAACGTGCTCAAGTTATATGCAAGGGAGTTAGTATTGGCATATTGGACATGACATTTATACTATTTGAATCAGTTCTCCATGTGCTCTATTAGATCTTGTATTTCAGTAATGCAGCAATCTGTGATAATTCTACTGCTATAATCTTTTACTGTTGAGTGATTTATCCGTTCGGGGAATGTGACAGTTCGTTTCGCGCAACCAATGTAGAGTGTTCTGCCTAGTTTAAGGGTTGCTTTTATTATCCAGTTTCATGTTATGTGTCCGACTTGATTCATTTCTGCGTTATGCAATTTGCAGTAATTGCTGAGGAATTTGTCAAAGAAACTTGAAAGGAGCAAGAACCGAAAAAAAAAAAAAAAAAAGCACCTTTTTAGTGTTTTCGCTCATTCTACTATTCTTTCTTTTATTCTTAGTACTACTAACAATCAGGGTTAGTTGATGTATAGTATAATACTTTTTTCTGCTTGTGACTTTTATTATTTTTCATTGTCATTGAGAAGAAAGTGAAAGGACTAATGCTGGATTTCCAGTGGTCCGACCCTTCAAAAATATACATGCATTGATGTTAAGAATAGTGAAATCTGTACATGTAATGTGATGTTATGGTTGGTGTTTGCTTTGAACGTTTGTTAATCAGTTGGATGCCTCCATTATGGCCCGTTTGGCATAACTTTTAAAAAAATCAAAATGAACTTTTGAAATTCAAAAACTAATTTTAGATATGTTTGGTTAATTTTATGGAAATGTGTTTATAGTTAAAAGAACTTTTGAAGAAAGTTGATCCAATGTGATTTCCTCAAAAAAGGCAAGGGGTAACAAAGATCATCTCCATTTTGGTTCCAAATCGAGCAAATACTTGGACGGAGAACAAGTAAACAGCGAGACTCATTTGGCAAAAGTGACTATATTTGCAATATCGCATATAACATATTCGAGTGGAATATGTTCTTACATACCGTAGATTTTAGGATTCTGAGAAAAGAAAGTCAAGAGAACGTGTTGAGAAGAAATTAAGGGTCAATTCAACATATACATTACAAACAACCTAAAGTACAATCGAGTTTCTTAACTGTATTTTACGAAGAACCAAAGAATCGATCATAAGTCATTGTCCTTTAATCTTCTTCCTACCTGCATCAATAATAAAATCGTGTTAGGAGGCTTTTCACTACTGGCATAAGATACTATGATAAAGCTCATAATTACAAATTAATTTAGGAACCGAACATCAAGAAGATAACTGCTGAAAAGAAACCAGGCGTGGAGCACACAAAATACTTTGAGCAGATATGTGTCAAAATGCAACAACGAAATCTGGAATCAACTTTTGCAAGATTAAAGCTATTCATAATAAAGACTGTCGATAGTCGTCCTACATGACGTACACATGACAATTTGTTATGTATATACCATGTAAAGCGACTATTTGAATATCCTATTTGGATGGATTATGCCCTTGTTTGGCCCCTATTATTCAAAATTATAGTTTTCTCTCTTATTTTCAACTGCACAATCTTCTATAAAACAATATCAACAACACATTTTTAAAAAAAATAATATTTCAAAAATTATAAATTATAATAATGGGGACCAAACGGGGGCTATATTTCATTTAGCATCGACCATTTTACTTATAAGAAAGAAAACCCAACTTTTACATGCATATTTGGAAACGAAAATTGAATTAAATTTAAGTACGAAGTTTTAGCTGAGCCAAACATGCTTGGAAGAAAGTTCCATAACAAGATTTTAGGAGTGCCTATATGTGCATTGCCAATAATATCTTCCTCTCAACAATTCTAGACCTGGTTATTGGTAAACGGTGGAATGTTTTTGGGAGTTCGAATACTTTGAGATGGAACGAGTTCTTTCATCTCAGAACCTCGAACATTCATTTAGAAAGTGTTTCTTTTGACATATACAAAACAAAAGACTATCAAAATTGCATTTCGCTAGCAACAAATGGCATTTGTGTACATTTTCTACTAGTTTCTAAAGTTAATATGGCATAATGGCATGAAGAGTCAACGGATGCAAACAAATAACAGAAGTGAGTTGCATACACATGCAAGAGGCAGCATAGGGGGTGGGGGGGGAGGGGGGAGAGAGATTTCTGAAGTTAAATATGGCATAATGGCATGGGGGGAGAGAGAGAGAGACCGTCTCTTTGATCGGGAATTTCTTCTAGTGGAGGTGCGAGTATCAGTGTTTTGACATTTTGTGCTGCTTTTCTTCAGCCTTGATTTTGAGGCACCTGCAAGTGGTGACATTATATTAGTACCTTTTGAGCCTGGGATTCAACTGTATATGTATCGAAGTAAGAAGCTTGTATAACCTCTTAAATTAGCAAGAGGTGATCGAACTTCATCATCGTCAAATTCAGAATCCGTAATCCCACTAGAAGCCTGTGACTGTTCCTTTGACTTTGGATTTTTTGGTTTTGAATGCAAAATTCCAGTCTTCTCCATGGACCTATCAGTTTCTTCTTCATCTGAAGCATTTTCAAAGGTGAAGATCATTACTAAGGTACAGTATTTTCATGATATCCATAGGACATACTCCATCAAATTGTAACAAAGATTGAAATTAGTTAATAGGAAGATCATCCCCTTGATGAACTTCCAGAAATCGAAAAGAAAAACAAAAAGACAGAGAGAAAAGGTTCTTTCCACAGTACAACTCTACAATCCTGTACAATTATAAATGTGTTGCACCAGAACATAGGTAGTTAGATACTTTCCCCAGAAAGGCCTTTAATCTTAGAGTTGAATATGTAAGAACTTCAAATAGTTAGAAAAAATTCATTAAACAAAACAAACCTCATTCGGCGGAAATACAAGTAGAACAACTGGTAGATTAAAGGTCATCTAACCAACACCAACCTACCTTCAGTAATTTCAGATTCACCACTTTCCTCTACCTCATTTTTAGCCGCCACAAAACTCCCCAAGCTATCAATTTTTTGTTGGTGAGCTTGAGCATTCTTTGCAGTAAGTTCTTGTTCCTTTCTTTCATTGTGAGACTTACTAATCTTTTCTTCAAACTCCTCAATGCTTGATTTTAATTCTGGCTTTGCAAACTTCTTCCCCTGAAAGAAATTAGAAAAAAATAAAAAGCAGAAAATTTAGATAGGTTATCAATTTGATAGCTAAACGATGTGATCCAGTTAGGAAACCAATTAATCATGGTGATGAAAGCACATCATAGGTCAATACCTTGTTAATTATGTTTTTAAAATGCTCCATCACGGTGTCCTCTGATAGGACATGTTCATATGCCTTAATTGACTCCATAAGCTTTCTCATGCTCTTTTCAGTGAATGCTAGCTGAGAAAGACAGTAAGAAATATACTCCCACTGCCTTATATCTGCACCAAAAGGATCCATAATGAACAGAAGCACCGCCATTATTCACTGATAGAGAATTAAAGAAACCAACAACTTGAATATGCTATCTTGGTTTAATATCATTTGGCAACAAAAAGATTTAGCAACAGATTAAAAGATATTGATCTTACAACAGGAAATATCCCATTTTCTTGGTTTACAGAAATGAGTTAGAGCTTCGGCCAATATAAGCGACAAGCAGCTCCAAAATATCTAATCTTGGTAGACATGCCTATCCTTAATATATTTGTCAAAAACAATGAGATATTCAAATAACATGGTAGAACAGGCTCATTATTCGAATGACAAAATAAAAGCCATCTTTCAACTGGCCTACAGGGTACATGATAGACGTTATCGTTTTCATAATGGGAAAGCGGGAGAAAGCCTTTTTATTTACACAGAAAACAACATATTAGACGTAGGTCAGCATGATAAATCTCTAATGCCCAATCTCTATAATCATGCAGATGGGCAATTAACAAAGCTTAAAATAGATATGAGCTTAAGGCAAATTTTCCTATATTTATGCACATTGTCGATGTAGAGAGTAATTTGAGAGTTAAGTATTTACTGTTTAAGCCTTCCATGATTTTTGGGTCATTGGGTGTCATTAAGTCACATTCAATGATTAATACAAAGTAGAATTATAACAAAAAGGTCAAATAAGAAAAAATGAAACAAGTCAAACGTAGAGTACCTGTCACTCCCGTAAACCTATTGCACAGCTTCTCAACAAGAGCTTCCATTTGTTTGTCCTGAAAATGTTCCATTAATTGAGCCAATTTACCGCAAAATAAAATGTTCTCATCACAAACTAAGCTAAGCCAGAAATACCTTCTTGATGGAACCAATTAGAAATTGCATAATGTTGCAGAAAGACTCTCCCTTCAAGTTCTGGCAGGACAGTTTTCCAAGGATATCTGGGAGTAGATTATAAATAGGATTGCTCCCTGTAACCAAAATTCAAAAAATTCAATGAAAAGAAGATGGTCTCAAGATCAGTTACTACTTAAAAATCTGGTTAAAATATTTCACCTTTCTTTGACAACTCATTAAAAAAAAGTCTAGCCAGATTTGAAATCCTTTCATCTTCATCTTCTACTCTCATAGCCATTTCATTTATGTAACCTTTCACCTAAACATTTAATAGTCAAGATATCTACAAAGCATCAAGGGAAAACCGAAAAGAACAAGGGCAAATGGAAGTCCCTCAAACCTTCATCATGTCATTTAAAATCAGATGAGAAAGAACCAACACAGCACTCTTCCGGACACAAACTGAAGGATCCCTTAGGCGTGCATACATGTTTTCAGTCCATGGCTCTAATAGATTGGGAAAACGAACTGCCAAATCTCCAAGAGCAATGGTGCAATTTGACCGAACAGTTTCTGATGGTGCATTCTCCACAACAGTGAAAAGCAGTTGAAGATTTGACTCACTAGGAATCCAAAAAACAAGCACAAGAAATTAATCTTTTCTTCTTGAAATGAATGTGTGCTAATGAGAAAGTCAGTCTTACCAAAAGTCTGCATCAATTATCATAAACCTACATAAAGCAAGCATTGCTGATGTCTGCAGCTCAGGAAACTACAAATGGATGCAGAAGTTCAACTCAGTAAGTGAATTGTAGAAAACATAAACAGAATGTAAGAGAAAATTTAACTGAACTGGAATAAGACTAATCATTCATGTCGAACTTGAATTGGCTCGCTCTGATTGCAGATAAGAAAATGGCATTTCCTATCTGTTGAACTAACTACATCTTTTAGTATAGTGGACATCCAAGCATCATGCCATATCAAAAATAATACAGGCAAAATAAAGTAAATTAATATTGAAATCTCCATGACATACTAGAAAGCAGCGAACTATGTACTACAGTATAAAAAAGAATTGCAATCACCTTTTGCATCAAACTAAAATTTCTGCATAATTTTGACAGAAAAGAGCCAGAGTGCCCAATTAAGTTTTTTCCAGTATTACCACCAGAAATAATTTCTTTCTCTGCTCTTTCCACAAGGCCATCAAGCATTGCATCCTCAGAGGCTGCAAGACCTAACTCTGCGTTGATACCATTATCCTGGAAGGAATAAGTCAAGCAAATAAAAATGAATGTTACAGCCACTTCTTCAAATGACACCATGCAAGCATGCACTATCAAGAAAAAGTAAAATCAGAAACCATGTCACCTTTTGCACATCAGATGTGTTTGCATTAGCTTTAAGGTCATCGGCAACGATTTTCTCTTTCTTGGCCTTTTCTTTTCGGATTTTCCGAACACAAGATTCAATATAGACCAATTGGTTCATGGCTACTTGACTAACAACAAATAGATATCTGCTAAGTTTCGTAACCTGAACAGTCGTAAGGACACTGGAGCTGCCATTATCCATGTCATTTTGTAACTTACCATCGCCATGGCAATTAAATACAGAGCTGAGAGATCTTTTCACGAGATCAGCAGCTATTGTTTCTGGAGTTGGATGAATAGTGTATATTGTAGCAATTGCTCGATCAGCTGCAGCATACCATATGTTCTCTGGAAGTATGAAGCCAGTAACCAAACCCTCTAAAATACCAAATACACGACTGCCATTACTAGACAACAATTTTTCCTTATCCTCTTTGGACAACCTCTGTAGTGCTGTGCATGCTGTCCTAGCTAGCAAAGGTTCCACTTTTGCCCAGCGACCAAATCCTATATCAACAATGTCTTGTAGGTGAGAGCTGAGGACACTAGGAGAAGATTTTGCCACCATGCACAGGACAGATAAAGCACCGCGACTTTGCTCAGCGGTTGTTCCACTGACATTGAAACAAAACAAATCCCACAACGCAGACAACTGGAAAAGAAAAACAGATGAATCAATGAAATACACTACAAGTAAGAACCTTTTCAAAAAGGAGAAACTCTGAAATATAAATGCCGGTCCAGCTAGCTTCAAAAATAGCTGATTCATAGTTACTCAAAAAGAACATTGACAAAACTCCAATCTCGATACTGAGCCTGATATGCACTCTTGTTGCAGTCATCCTAAAAGCAATTTAAGATCTCAATATTTAATCATTCATACAATGTTTTCAGACATGTTTCAATTATGTGTAATGCAGGTCATATGCCTAACCAAAATAAGTTCACAACTCACCAAGAAATGGTGGCTGATGACAGTCCTGTAAACTTCATGTTGAATCTTATCATGGAAGAGTCAGTTCATCATCACTTAGGTTCCTAAGATAAGACAACGTCTGTTCTATAGCTTACACGGTTGGCAAAATAAATACATACTCTCCTGTCACAATGCATACACTGGGATTAAAAGATTTGATAGCATAATTTACAATATTCGCCTACTCCCCCTGGCCAAGAAATATAGTAGGACAATGGCATTTAATACTGGAACTGTATCCTGCTAAAGTATCAATCCTAAAATCAAGTCCTGATCACGCTTAAGAGACATTTGATATCTGTGGAAACTAGGTTAAGATTCCCCAAAAGTCACTTCAATATATATGGGATTACGAGCATGAAAAGATGTCCTTTTTTTGCCATCCCAGGAATAAAATTTTAAAAAGCATAACGTGAAGTTCCTTGTTCAGATGTCATGTGCAGTGTGAACAAACTTCTCTGCCTAACAGAGCACAACGGTCTGCAAATAATTGCGCAAGTAAACCAGAAGTAGCTTACCATGCTAGCAGTTATGTCGCCTTTGGATACCAGGGCTCCAAGGATGAACTCCAAGGACGCAAGATCCCCAATGTTTGAATTTATGGAAAGATCCAAGAGATTCTTTGCAGTTTTTACTGGGTTCTTCCTTATATATATCGTGATGAAAGCATTCTCAACAGCCTCACAAATCGATTTATCTTGAGAAAATACCTGTTACCATTAGAGACAAAAAGGTTTACGTATCAAACCTACTTGAAGACATGAAGAGATGGGGTGGTGAAGGATAAATATTAAATCTCAATTTCTGAATCCTGATGAAGATATCGCATTACCAAAGGCAACATCTTGCAGAGGCAGGCTTCTGAACCATCAATTTGAAATTGTCTGCATCTCATGAGCAAAAGAATTGCATTTTCGACATCAGTGGCAGATGATGAAGCCATTAACTGAACAAGAGTTGGCATCGTGGCAGAGAGACACATAGAAAATCTTAAGCCTGCCTCCAGTGAAGCAACCAAGGTTCTAGTTTGCTCCAAATTCCCAAAAGATGGTACAGAAGAATCCATCTGTACTATACCATCAGCTGCTTGAGGTAAGCAGCTATCAGTCAAACTATCTTCTTCCTTGGAATTCCCTTCAGTTTCTTCATCTCCAACCTCACCATCCACATTAGAGATGTCATTGTCTGAAGGCAACCCATTGGAGACGCCTTCTGATGAATTTTTGGATGGAGATTTTGGTCCAAGCTCGTTCAACTTCTTCTTGTACTGTTCTAAGGTTGCCTCAAAAGAAGCAGTTCGAAGTTGGGGTCCAAAAGGGTTATGCTGCAGCATCATGATAAGTAAATTAAGGGCAGATTTCCTGACCATTGAACTCTTGTCTTCTAACCTCCCAGCAGCAACCGCCGCAACCTCATTCCACAAACCAATTGAAACAGAATGTTCTTCACATAATTCAGCCCAAACTTGAAGAACACGACTTCTAGTATAAGCAGAGACATCACGACAGCGCTCCAACAAGATTTCCAACATGGCCTGCTTTGTTCGTAGACGAATAGATTTTGAGCTCACTTCTCCTTCAACGTCATTAAAGGCCTTCACAACTAACTTCCCCAACACCCCAACAAGAGCATTCCTCATTTTGTAAGATTCTCCCCCAAAATGTGGAATTAACAAGCCAATGTTAGTTGAAATCAGCTTTGGCAATCGATCAGCAAGCTCTACAAGGAACCGGCCAATATTTTCAGCCCCAACAGTATCCTTCACATAGGCTTTTGGATTTGTTTTTCCAATCTCCCGAATAAGGGAAGTAGCCACACTTCCATCAGCATACTTCTTTTCTGCCGCAGCAACGGCATCAGCCAAATGTATAACAACAAAATCATATTTATGAATTAAGTGAAGAATGGAAGCACATGATTGTGCTATGTAGTGATACTTGGTAGCACATGTCCCGATTACACGACATAAAGCATCTTTCGTATCAGAATCTTTTAATAGCGCGGCGTTCTCAAACATCAAGAATGCATTTCTACAACAGATCATTTTGTCAAATTAAAAATTAACACAATAGATCATATATGAAGCAAAAAAATAAAATAAAATAAAATAGATTTTCAACTTACTTCGCAATGAAGGATAAGTAATTTTCATCCGGGTTAGATGACCCAAAAAGCAAGGAAAGATTGATCTCCAGCGAATTAGCAATCAAATTCAGTATTCTGCTCCTCTGAGACTCCCAATTCCACGAATTTACCAGATGTTTCTTCCGGCTACTTGCCGCTGCCTAGAGCATTAAAATAGAATCAGCCATGCTAATTCCACTAAACAGCCAATAATGAATGTATATACATAAAATCTTCTATGTATTTATTGACATTACAGAACGCATAATTTAGAGAGAGGGGTCAAAGAAATATTTACTTTAGTGTTATTATTGATGGGACTGGAGCTCGACTCCTCGATGAGCACGATATGAATAAGGAAAAAAGTATATATTTTAAACGCATTCCTGTGCGAGGCCACCCTATCAAGCGTCGAGCTTCCATCACAAACCTCAGAAGTTTCGTCCTGCTCATCCGAATCATTGCCATTTCTGCTCGAAACTGAGCCACGCAAGCGCGAAAGAGAGTCAACATTTGGCAATAGAACACTCAGATTAGACCTCAATGACTCCACCAAATTGAGCTTGCAACCGGGAGTCAGGCTAGCAAACCCCTTCACCAAAGAATACACGCGGTCGAAAATTTCTTGCTCTTCGATACAGAATAACTCTTTATCCGACAAATCGAAGGAAACCCCTGGTTTTCAAAAGTCCCAAAAGCTCAATTAACTTAAAAATGGAGCAAGATTAGGGCGGAATGCATTAAGGAAAAGGGTGAACGGGGAAGTAAAAAACTGACCTTTTACAAATTCTTCGAGTTCCGAGGAGCGAAGAGAGGATATGGCGGAAGCGTTTTGGACGGTGAGGCGGGTGTAATCGGGATCTTCTTCTTCAAGCGAGTTCAGATTTTGGGGGAAGATAAAATTTGGTGCCATAGTTTTAGAGAGAGAAAATGTGTTTTAGAGAGAGAACGGGAGAGAGAGTTTGAAATGATGAAATCTCTAATGTTTAAAGAGCGGGAACTCGTGATTGAATTTTTTTTCATGGTTTTTCACGGTTTGGCCGTGGATTAAGATGAAATTTTTCTAATTTTTTTATTGGGTTAATAAGCAGTTAATTATTTTCAAGTGAGATTTATTTCTACTTCGTAAGAAGTTATGGAATTTTATTTGTAATTTCTTTATTTTTTTATTTCACTTTTTTTTATTTAAAGAGAATGATAAATCCGTCAATTTATGATCAAAATGGACGAAATGATGAGTTTTGCTACGTGATTTAAAGGTTGGGTATGGATTATGTTAAAAAAAAATTGATCATGAAATCGCTATATATTTCGAAAAGATTGGATATCGAAAGTGCAAATTTCCATTTATAAAAAGTTACTAATAATTTTTTTTTTTAGCATAATAAGTAATTTATAGTAAATATAAATATATCGCTAAATATAAATATATAGAAATTTGGAATAATAATCTGATATAAATTCTTTCTCTACATCTCATTTTTCTTGGAACTACATAGAAAGTAGGGAAAAATTCACAATTAAGGTATTAAGTATTGACAATTCAATTCTCATATCTAAAGTTTTGAAAATGCAAAATTCAGGTTTTCATTTTTTAATTAAATATATTTTATTAATTGAAAATAATAAGGTCACACTTATTCCATTAATGGTCACATGTTCATAATTATAAGTCACAAACTTATTTATTGGTCACATATTATCAAATTTGTTGGCCATAGTTATCAAATTTTAAGGTCGCGGGTAATTAAATTGTTAGTGACAGGACAAATAGCTGGTCACATTACATACCACCACCACCTCCACTGCCATCACCACCACTATCCACAATCCTCACCCCGTTACCGCTGCCGACCACCATCTCACCGCCAACACTACCACCATCACTAGTTCCATTAGCAACAATAACCACCCAATTCCCCTGATAAAACCAAAACACAACCACCACCGCCGCCGCTCCAACAACAAAAAAAAAAAGACCTCCAACACCACCATTAGGCACTACCCCAACACCACACCATCGCCGCTCCATTACCACCACCACCATAGCACCAACACTGCCAGAGATACCACACACAGAACCAGCAACTCCATAGCACATACCACCACAAGTAGTGGAGCAGCACATTTTCTTTGCATAGGAAAAGTGGCAGTGCAAACAACAACACCTCACCTGCAAAATGCTTGCTGCACATCTTTGATCTAAAAAGCTGTCACCAATACCATCAACAGCACCATCAATGTCCACCACCACCAAGACCAATACCATCAACATCTCCGCATGGCGCACCTTGGGTGGAGATCCTCACAGCAGCGATGTTTCTTCGAACCCCTTGCAGACGGTGCCACTCAGGTCGTCTCGTGCCTCTTGCAGACAGTGCCGCTCTCTTGCAACGACGCCAGTCTTCTTGTAGTGGCGTCGGCGATGGCGAGTGGTGAGAGAGGAGTGACGAATCTTAATCTAGAGTTTAGAGTAAATTTGGGATAAATTGAAATCGGGTTGAAATATTTTATATTAATATTAATAATTAAATTAATGCCTGAGTTCTGAATAACAAACTTTCCCACATGATTTTTGCATTCTGATCTTTAAATGCCTGAAATCTTGTAATTTCCCTAGAAAGTATTGGGCTCTTTTGATGTGCCCAAAAGTTGTAGCCCGATCTCAAACCTTCACACACAGCCTGAGGTGTTTAACCCGAGCATACATCTTCTCCAAAACCCTCATAAATGTGTTTGGGCTTGTCCCCTAAGGTCAGGTTGGTATGATCGTGCCCTATTAAGGTCGGACCCACATAATCAAAATATTGTCCTTCATGTCCTTATCTCATACCTTTTACATGTTTTAGTCCTTTCATGACTCAAATGCTTTACATTCATCATTATCCAAATATCTAACCTATTTTAGTCCAACTCAAACTTTAAAATATAATTATAATATAACTCAATCGCTCTATATGATAAGGATAAGGACTATTGGTAGTTGAATCATTTTACAACTCTATCACCAACCTTTATAAATACAAGACCAAAGATCATTATTCAAGTACATTTTTACATACAATTTCAATGTACATTTTTATAAAAATTCCTATCTGACTTAAGTATCGAAGAAGTGACGATGACACACCTCGTTGTTTTTGTTTCACGTTTCGGAAGGCTCTGTTGGTGTTATTTGTCAGTCCTTTAGCTCGATATTCAAGCAGCAAGTTTGAGATCTACTAGATACGATTTTTGGTAGCATCATCTTCAATTTCCTTGTTTTTTAATTGAAACCTGGTCCCTTCTGAGACTTCGAGATATTTTGTTTTTGACTTTTGAACATAAAAAAAAGGAGTTTTATGTGAAGTGTTGCAACAATTACGAAGATCAAATGCCAAATTTTTAAAGATATCTATGATGTCTTACTTATTATGATTATATCCTTGCAAGCCTAATTTTTACATATATTTTAAGGTTTTGATTTCTTAGTAACATATACACAAATCAATCGGCTATCTCTATTTTATTATCTTTTCTCTCTAATTTATAATATGTTATCAGCACGAAACTCTAATCAGTTAACTTATGAAAATTGATTTTTCGATTTAAAGAAAGACTAGAAGTTCTTGCCAATGAAATTATTAAAAGAGTTTCTTCTCTTCTGCTAAAAAATAAAGTTGTTTGAATATAATTTTATTTTTTTGAGGATTACATCTTTATTGATTAATATTTACACAAAATATTGCACATGTTTGGTTTTACTACAATTAAAATTTTAGTGGATTGTGATAAAAAGTTGTTCAAATATATAGTTAAAAAATTGATAGAAATTGTGGATTTGTGAAACACATGATTATAAATAAGTTTAGAAAAATTTAATCTTTTAAAAATGGGGGCCAAACGAGATTATTGTTGCCTATGAAAAAGCTAAATATTTGTATATTGATACTGTGAAGAATATTATAATATTATTTTATAAGAAGCACGAGCCTACGCATTAGGAGAATATTGCATTGTTGCTTATGAAAAGGAAAAACCAACATAGACATATAAATATTCGAGAAGAATATATTTATTTTGTTGTTGTTCCTCAAGAAGCACGATTTATATTAATGTTAATATTCCAAAAGATTTTTTTCTTTCAAGTAGCTAAATTTATAAGATTTGATATTCTATAAGAAATTATGCTATTGCTCTTGAAGGGTAAATATCTATGCAACTCAATAATTCATAATCATAATGATTTCCTGCTGCTTTCAATAAAAAACAACGTTATATTCATATTTTGAAAGAATATTAATAACTCTAGAAGAGAATAACATTACAATTTTGAATATTGAGTTATTGCTCCTAAGAAGATTAGTCTCGATATATCAATATTTTCATAAAAATATTTGTTTGTGCTCTCAAAGTAGTACAAGTGTCTCGAAGAATACAATATGGTCTACTTTTGCGAAGTGAAGTTATCAAACACAAATTATATGAAATTTAATTGTGATAAATAGTTTTTAGTGAGAACTATTATGCATTTTTTGAAAATGTAGGGCCTATTTGATATAGATTCTATGAAAAATATTTTTTTTAGAGAATAGTAATTAAAAAGTAGGAAAAAATATAAATTCATGGGCAAAATTATTTTATTATAATAATATACAGTTGAAAATGAATTTTAAAAAATTTACCAAAGAGAGACTTAATGGTCCTCCTCATAAATTAATTTTCTACATGTTTAATTTTTTATTGGACAAAATTATTTGATCATTATTTGAATAAGCAAAAATAAAGAAAATAGGGGTTCATGTTTATTGGCCAACGATGGTCATGGTGGTTGCTTATTTATCTGTTAATTTATTCTCCGTTGGGTTTATTTAATGGATAAGTTTTGATGTACATAGAATATGTACATAGAGGTTAGGGATTGCAATTCGAATTGTCAAAATCGAAAAATTACGATTAACATAACAGAATGAGGCTAAAAAAATTGAACCAATGGCATAATGGAGGTGGATACGGCATTTAATTTCAATGTCCTGGTTAGGGGCGGAATGGGTATGGTATTTACATCGTCGCCCCGCTCCGAACTGATTATCCGTTAAAAATTAATTGGGAATTGGGCTTTTTATTATTCTTTTCATGATTCTGTCCAACCCAAAATTTTGGTTCATTACTAACCTGTTAAGTTCAACTAACATAAACCAGTAAACATACACCATACTACACAAATATCAAACATATATAGAAATTGTTTGTTAAATTCGAATTTTGCATTTGGGAATTGGGATATTGTTTGTATTTTCATTTAGGATATTGTTTGCTAAATTGACTAAATATTGTGTTTTGTTTTCATTGACTTTTTTTTCATAAATTATTATTTTTTCAATTTGTCGACTGGATTTATAAAAAAATAATTTATTTTCGTGGTTATTAATCGTGTCAAATCGATCTGAACCGAGATACGAACCAAGCTGAATCGAACCAACTTACATGGTTATAGTTCGATTATGGTATAATAATAAAAAATTGGTGATTTGGTGATGATTTTAACAGAACCGAACCATTATCAACTATAATAGGGGTGTCCGCACCCCTCACATGGGGTGAGACTCGTGTGAGGTGGGGCCCACCTCTTGTGAGGGGTGTGGACATTCCTACGTACTCAAATTATATAAACCAAGTACAATCCTTTTTAATACCTTGTTTAACAATCATTAAAACATAACTCTTTTTTTCGAAATTTATTTTCAACCAAACATCCTTACAATAAAATATTTTGCACGTAAATCAAAATTTTTCATACTTTTTAAATATTTATTCTTTAGAAAATCAGTGTTCTGAAAATCATTTTTCCCCCAAAAATTCATTTTAATGGCTGTTAGACTGGGGCTTAATTATTTTGTTTTAGTGCAAATAGGTTATGTGTGGGTATAGCGGTGAGCAGTGACGAACGCAGACATTTTGAATTGGTAGGACACAATTAAATTTTGCAAAGAATACAAA